CGGTGGGGGGCGAGTGGGAGTGGTTTAAGATTCAACTGCTAGGTGGGCAGTTGAATACAAAAATAGGTTAGCCATCTATTTTATAGATTATCTTGCAGCATTCAATTCCCACTTCTCATGTTTAATGTAAATTATATAATACAGGGATTTTGTTGTTAAACCAAAAGTTAACTAGATAATTCTTTGGGCATGTATTGTTTGCTTATCTTCCTATGAAAAGCACTGTGTGGGTCAGTTAACACAGTGTTAAATCGGTAAAACTGTCTCTGGCATTGCTTGTATAATACATAGAGAGAGATACATTTTAAAAATTAATTGCATAATTAATTATTTAGAGTTGTGATAAATGTAACAGAAAAGTATAAGATTCCATGAAATTTGTGGGTTCCTGAAAAGAACATATAAATGTCATATCTTGAACTTACTTAGCTTAATGTATAATTAAATCCAGGCAATAGTTGCTATATCTGTGTAGATCTTTTTCCAATTTGGATTTTTTCACATAAAAATACAAAAGTTTCCACCAAATACAAATATTTACTTTTCGCTCTATCATTAATATATGCTCTTCAAACATTGAATGAATGTGAGATTTTTTAAAACTCAAGACACAAAAATAATTGCTAAGGACTTTCTAATTTATCTTTACCTTTGTATCTCTTGTAACATCAGCAAAGCACATGGGATTGAAAAGCAGATTATGCTTACTAACAAAATTTCTGTCAATTTCATTGAAATGGGATTTTTGGTATAACAGAAACTTTACAAGATTCACTGACATAAATAAACTTGATAAAAGTATGGGGAAGTAATTCATTATTTATATATCTTCATTGTTATTATTTTGAGTTGGGGGTCTCACTCTGTCACCCAGGCTAGAGTGCATTGACATGATCATGGCTCACTGTAGCCTCAGACTTCTGGACTCAAACAATTCCCTTGCCTCAGCTTCCTGAGTAACTGAGACTATAGGTGCACACCACCATGCCTGGCTAATTTTTTGTAGAGATGAGGTCTTGCTATGTTGCCCAGGCTGGTCTCAAACTTCTGGGCTCAAGGAGTCCTGCTGCCTTGGCTTCCCAAAGTGCTAGGATTTCAAGTATGAGTCACTGGACCTGTCTGTCACATTTTTAAGTAAGTGGCCCCCTTGCTGAGATTATCAGCCACCATAATTGTGACAGTTGTTATTTGGTGAACTGAATTGTTCAAATTACTCAGTATCTGTCCAAATTACTCAGTTGAATATGAACTATACTCTTCTAGAAATTTCTTAATACAAAAGTATAGTGTGAGACCTAAATGCTTACTTTTTTAGAAGCTTAGATTTTTTAACATTATGCTGTTAATTTTTAGTATATATTAGAACAATCTATTAAGCTCTTCATTTAAACACTCACATGACTTAAAGGTTAGGAACATGGGCTCTGCAATCCATACTCTGAATTAACAGCACTAGCAATTGCTATTTGAACTTGCTGGGGCATAATCGTTTCCCTATTAGTAAAATAGTAGTTGTGGTGAAGGTTGAATAAACTTGATAAAAGTATAGGGAATGTGTCTGGTACATAGTAAGTACTCAGTAGATGTTAGCCGCTGTGATCATTATCATTATTGTCATAAACATTAAAATATGCTTATAAAACTTTTTTCTTTCCTGTGGTGAATTTAAAAAAAAAAAAGAACCTGTCATGGCTATCATCAGGTAATTTGTGGTCCACAGCTGCATCTTTTCACGTTGCCATTTTGATATGAATTCTGCCAGTTGTGCGTCCTTGGACGTCACTTAACCTCTCTGTGCTACTGTTTGTCCTGTGTATAACAAAAGTGGTTTTAATAGAAGATTATTGAGACCTAAGAGAGCTGATGCTCTAGACCAGTGCCTGGCACACAGTGAGTGCTTAGTCAATGGTGCCTGTTATTATGAGTAGTATTAACATTATTACATGATCACGCTTCTATCAGTTTGCTCAGCCAATGGCATAGACTGCTAATAATTAAAACCAAAACTCACAAAGAGCTTCAAATGACATAGTAAAAATTTCAATAGACTAAAGTTTGACAGAAGTGTCATTTTCCTAACAAAATTTAAATCTGCAATAATCAGAGATCATTGGAAATAATAGAAATAATAGTAGAAATAGTAGAAAAAAAGAAAATTCAATTTCAGAAGTTCTAATGTGTCAAACTTGGAATAGAACAAACATAACCTCTAGTCAGTAAATTTAAACTTATTTAGACATTTTACCCATTAAGAATTGATCCTAATAAAATACTTTTTGTCTAATAAAAATGGACATGGATATAATTGGA